TGGACTGACTTTCTCACTTCCCTGTTATCTTTATCAGTTGTAGTCAGTCCAAATTATATTAATATGTTTGTTTTAAGAAGAAATGTGGAACATTTTCCACTTGATTTGATTTCACAGCATTTGCTACTTAAAAGCCAATTCATTCATTTGAAAAAGCACTGTTGGAATTATTGCACTTTCTTATTGAGATTAGAACTCTTACTGTTGGACTCAAAGGTTAAATTTGTTGCATCTCTAGTTCTCAGAATTTCACACCATTTATTACCAAGTTAAAAAGTGCCAATCCTGATGTTGATCCCTGGTGATCCCATTTTGCATGTCTCCAATACAGTCTCTAAAATGTGTTGATTCCAACTCTTTGTTTCCTTTTCTTAACTTGTGATCGTGATCTCACTGTTGTAATTGTTTGCTGAAAATTTTTGAGGGTTTCTGAAACTCCAAGTATACAGTTTTTGTGAGATCACTCCTATCTCTTAAACGTTTGGATGGGTTGATGCTGAATTTATATAAAAATACTTGGAGAAGCTCATAATCTTTTCCCTCACAAGCCATAAACGTATATTTTTAAAAAACCTTGATTTTTTGAGAAAAAATCAATTCTAACAGACATGTTGAAGTGAGACTGAGGAAACACAAATTTGACTCCATTTGACCAAACAGCTCACTTGCCAATCCCTTTTTCTTCACCAGCAGTGTATTGGGTAGTATTTTTTGTGAAGTTAAAAAAGTGTTTTACTTATGAAAAAGTATCAGCTCTAACAGTTAATTGATTAAATCAACAATCTCAGAAGATTCCTAGAAAAATGCAACAATTAAACTGAATCAATATCAGTTCACTTCATGGAACAGGTCTTTTGATGCGGGTCCTCACCCTGAAAATTCAAAGATTCCATTAAAAGAAAGGAATAGGATACCCTGGCAATATAAACAAAAAAAGAAATGAAAATATTTATTGAAAAATAATTTGCATCAGAAGAGACTTTATTCTAGTTCTTCAATATTTTACAGTGCTGGGTAATCTTGGATTCATACTGTATTTGAGTTTTTCTTTTTGTGATAGCATGTTTGTTAAATTTTACAAATTATTAATATTTTATTATCTACTTATACAATAAAAAAGAACTACATTTTGAATATTTCCCTTTCTCCCCTACATCCTAGGATATAATTGAAAAATTCCTGTACCTCGGTACGTATACCAGTTATAATTTATACAGATGGTTTCATATGATTGCAACGTAGTTTTTTTCTTCTACAGTTAACGTATTCCCCTTTACTGTTAAAAAATTGTTAAAATATTATTGTGTGTGTGTATGCTTAATGCTTATTAGTTTTATTGTATAATGAAATGTTATTCTTCCATTATGGAAATGTTTTTTTTTTAAATCATTTGTTAAAAAGTTGATTTCTGTGCAGTACAAAATGCTGGGACAAGATGAATTTACAGATTCAAGACAACTTATTTGGTTTTTTCTTTGAATTCTTGGCATATTGTGTTTCATAGGATATATATTGCCATTGAAGTTGAAAGGAATATTATGGATGGTTCTCATTTATGTCTTCTTATACAAACCACCGTTTTTCTTTATATTGCCTTTGAACTGAATCCAGTATGTCTTCTAAAATATTTAATGTATTCAGAGCAGCTTTCCCCAATCTGGTGTCTTTTAGCCTTGTTGCAGCCAACATGGGAATTCTTGTTATGGCTAACCCAAGCTTAATAGAATCAAACATTCCAAAGTATAGCACTATGGCGATATTTCCTGCCATTATGAAAGTCCCTGCAATTATGTCCAGGATTTTCTGGTTTATCTATGCAGGAGCATAGTTAGGAGATGATAAGATTGCTTGGATGAGTTCAGAATTCTATATGTGAACTGAGTCTGGATATAAACTGTGCATAATGGCACCAAACTATGTCTTTAACTATAAAATCTCACTTCTGATATGAGGACTCGTGGGGGTGGGGGTGGGGAGAAACAATGGAACAAACTTCTGGGTAAAAGCAGACGGTCAGAGAATGCTTAATTCTGGGTATCCTTCAGTACTTCAAATCCCACTCCACGAGCTTCATTAAAAAATCACTGGGACAGAATTGCATCTGAAGAATCTGCTACAAACATATACTCTGGAACTCAGCCTTACTATGGGTAGTTTTCCATTTTATTGTAACTTATTTATATTATTTAAAAGCTGTCCAACTCCAAGCAATCCTGGCTAGCTTACATTTTAAAAAGCAGGAAGAATGAAAATAAATAAATAAAAAGCAGATCATAGATATCCAGCAGAGAAAATATAATCAAACTCAAGTTTTTGGAAGAACGTGAACTATGCATGTTTATAAATAAAGTTCAGAATTATATGTTTATCATTTAAGAAAATTTGCAGAAGTTAGTAGTAGTGAATGCATACTAAGGAAATACTCATTCATCTTTTTATTTTCAGGTGATGACAGAAATATCGAGGGTGTATATGTGGCTGGTAAACTGGTGGTTCCATTTTCAAGCTCTGTGTAGATTGGATTCTCATTTTGAAAAATGCTCAACTAGTTATTGTTTGGTTTGGAAAAACTGGGTAGAAATGCAGTGCCTTGTTGTTATGCTGATTTTATTTAGTATGTTTCTGATATGCGCAAGAAAGGTTGTCAACTTGGCAGTGACACAAAACAAAATATATGCCAAAAATCTATCTTGTTTGAGCAGGATAGGAAGCAGCCTCAGTTTTTAAAATAAAGAAGTGAACTTGCATTTGGAACCAATCTTTTCACCTACACCTTAATAAGAATATCCAGAGATGGTTGCAGAATGTATTTCCTCTCTTCAAATATAAAAACCCAAGTCCTAAAAATGTATCCGATGAGAATTTAGGGATCTTATTTGTGAATATATTATTACTCTCTGACTTAGAAACAAAACATACTTGTTTTGGGTGGTGTCCATTTTCTACAATTTTCCTCCTTGAATAGACATCACGTGATCTTGGCAGGGTTGCCCAATCAGGAATGGAAAAATCTGTTTTTTCTCTTCTGGGGAGTGACATGTCTTCTGAAACTTTCACCACCTTTATACTCATACATTTGTGATTTGTCCACTTAGAGTGCAGATTGCTTAACTGCAAATATGAGGAGGATATAAATGAGGATATGAATGTGGCTATGAAGGAGGATATCAAAAGAAGAGTCAGATCCCGTGTTCATAGTTTATGTCACCCAGGATGGCTTTGTTCACACATAATGCAAAGCTGTTATATGGCTAATTTAAATTTGGATTAATATGATGGATTCATTATGCATGCGTTTCAAGTGAGAAAAAGGCCCTTTTTAATACGAGGATAAGGCTATAGCCTTGATATTTTACTGATATGGGTCAATTGGGTGCAATCTAATTGGAAGTGTTTGTTCAAATTGTAAATTCATTCTTACCCTACAGTTCAAAGCAATCAGGACAATCAAATCAATATGTAAAAGGGGGCTTTTGTTTTAGAACCCGATCTCTTAATATTTGTATAACTGCACTATTCCTATGTATATGAAGTACATAGGATAAATACTGAGTAGGTAATGTTAAAAATATTGTTTTTTTTATTTTGCAAAGAGAGATGACAGGTATAAATATGATAGGTTTGCACAAAACACCTTTGGAGGAATGTATGCCTTTTAGAATCATTATTGGTATTTTAGTTTTGGGGAAGATAATTTTAGGAGAACTCTACTGTGCAGCGGTGGCCTCTGAGAGATTCTCAGTGGGAAATAAACTTTTGTTCATAATTGTATAAATAAAATAGAACACTTTTTAAAGGGATATGTCTCTAAATGTTTTGGAAAGCTTGTTGAAAACTGTCAACTATCTCTCAGCACGTGTGATGCCTTCTTCATTCACCTCTTTGTTCCCTCTCAGCATGAAGTTTAGCTGAAAAGGTTGGGACAATCAGAAAAAGAGCCTTGGAAATTTACTTGGGAGAAAAGAGAAGCCCAAATGTCTGTTTTGTGAGCAAGAAGCATTTTGAATGACAAATTGAAATTATTTGAATTTCCATCTTACTGTACCATTTATTAACCTTCCGTTTGAAAATATTAATGAGAATGAATATAATTTGTGCTTTGTAGAGTTAGTTGAATGATTTTGGTGTGGCAGTTGGATTTCAGCAGTATAAAATGTTGACTTAGCTTTAATATGCATGCTTTACAATATTTACAAAACAGAAGGCTAGGGCAACTCAGGAAAGGAACTGCACTTTATTCACTTATCTATTTTATTTTTTCAAAATAGTAAGTCTGTGCATTTTTTGCACAATAAAGGAGGAAAAAAGGTCTAACCTCTGCATTTATGCCAAAAATAAACTTTTATTCCTGCTGATAAAAAAAATAAGTCAAATATGCATTGGAAGTCAAGGAAGGAGAAATATAATATTTCACAGAACTATATTTGTTGCACTAAGAAGTTAGACTTGATTTTGGTTTATAGACAAAGTTTATGAGTATCAGCATGTTAGAGAGCTAGCCATGAAATATGATGGTTAAACCATGGCTTAACATGATCTGTTAACCTATTACAGGCCTCATTCATAAGATATGCTAAAAATTGTCTTTATATTATTTTAATACATACTACAGAGTAAATAATATATACTGTATCAATAATATACTATTTAATTATATTAAACTAAAAATATATTTATACATATGTGTTGATGAAGTCATATAAAATTGAAATGGAGGAATAAAGAAAAGAGGAAAAGGCTTGGAAAATTAAATAATAAACAATTTAAGACAGAACAAAACTTTCAAGTCTTCTTTACAAATATACAAATTCATTTTTTCCGACAAACCGAATAAGCGATAGATTAGCATCACATACAAGTCCAATTGCCCAGTTGGATGGACTTTGTTCTTAGTGTGAAAAGAAGTATGTGTTTGGAGTAGAAGTGAAGGAGTAAACATTCTCATTTATACTCTTTGGAAAAACCAATTACCAGGATACTATGTCGTGCTGTTGATATTGCCTGTCATGTATTGATTTCCATCACAACCTAAAACCATTCAAGTACATTTCTCATCTCTTGTTTTGTCTGGTCCTCAAATCAATGTGACTAAAAGTATGATCCTTTAAATGTTATCTGTTTATAAAAGTATAACATTATCATATCACTAATAGATTTGGAAAGCCGCTTGGATTTATTTGTTGCTAATGACAGCAGGAATGTGTAGGAAAGAAGTTGGCCTCAGCCAACTGAGGGGTCAAAATGGTCAAAGTGGCGGTTGTGGAGTCTGAATTGAAGCCCCGCCTCTTTCCCTACACTTCCTGCAGATAGATGGTTTTCTCTTTTTCACCACTTTTCAATCTTGGTATGAAGAGTGCTTGGCATGAAGAGTGCTATAATTTTATTGTACAGCTTTTGGTTGATGAAAAAATAAATAATGTGAATTAATCTTACCAGATTTTTATTTTTCTGACTGTATACTTTCAAGGTGAGAAGTACAACCCTTCCTCCCCAAAATAATGCGTTGCTGTGTATTCCAATGGCTTGATTGTCAGTAATTATAAATGAGCCCCTCTGTGCTTGTTTAACAGAATAAAGAAAGATATGTTTACTATGTTTACATTGGTTCATTTCTTAATGTTTTGAAGGAAGTGGAAAAACCATAATCTGCTGATTGACTCTGGAGGAACACATCCATTGAAGTTCTCAAATAAACCAAACCACTCAAACGGAGGGAAAAACACATCTTTGCATAAGGCCCATCTCCCTTGTTGTCTAGTCACCAAGGCTGTGCACATCCTTTAAAACGAATCTCCAACCTTGGCAACTTTGGGAGTTGAAATCCTCTAGGCTTAAAGTTGCCAGGTCTGGAGAACCCTGCTTTAAAACAGCTGCTTTGAAACGTGCTTTGGAATTAATGTTCAGAGTGTAGAAACGAAATGATATGAGCTTTAACTATTGACCCTAAACTACTATTAATTTAATTAAAACCCTAACTTCTCCTTAGCTGCCCCACCCCCCATTTATGCTGGCATCATCCAGGGGCTGCTTTAAGGTGTACAAAATCTGTTAAGCTTTCTCATTCATTGCCCTGGCACTGTGCTTTGTTATTAGGGGCAAGAGAGGATTACCATTGGGGACAAAATGTCACACCAGGCCTGTTTTATGTCAGGTGACACACAGCTCATAATGGCCTCAAGTAAATCTCTCAGCCTAGCCTAAACAACCCTCTTGCTTTTTGGAAATGAGGTAAAGTTGTATTATTTCATCAGGCTGTGCTTGGAAGGCCATTGTTGGTAGTTTCTTGTCATAGATGTTTACATTTAATGTTTACATTTTGAAATTGTTCGCTGCCCAATGTTTGTATGGATAGGGGAGGCTCGTGAATATTGTTAACAAGCAAACTCTGAACTGAACAGAAAGCTGTAAATGGAAAATATATTTAAGTTAATATACACAGGATTGCATTAATATAGAGTCCAGCTCCATCCTTCTATGTCAGAGTCTCTGCTGCTGTCAGTTTAATTTCCCTTCTACAAGTAATCATTGCAGGGATCTTACAAGGAGCCTGTCTGTCAGCTACATGCTGGATAAAAAGGGTGAAGAGAGAAAGAATAACATTCATTCGCCAGTTTAGGATCTAGTCCTACCACCAGTGACAAGGATATTCCTCTTCTAGTGAGATTTTATCCAAAAGAATCCAATCCTACAAACCACAGAAAAATGGCCCCCATGGCATGCCAATCTAAAGAAAAAAAAAGTATTTGAACTAATTTACAAGCTTCCATACCAATAGAAATTTGGAAATAAATCTATTGAATATTGTAGAACAGCAATATCTTAAATCAAGAGGTCAATCCCTATTCCCTACTAGCACTGATGATGTTACCTAGTTTGGGTAATGAAATGTCTGCAAGAAAATCACCAAGCTCAGGAAGCAGCAAGGACCACTCCTTTCAACCCTGAGCTATAAATATTCTCCTTTATCAATACCTTAAACCCTTTAGTGGAAAATACAGAGCAATAATCTCATGAAATATTTTTAAACCTCCACAAACCAACCATTGGTAAAAAGCAACATCTGCTCACCTGTCTTGAAAATAGCTTGTTTACCATCTCCTTGAGAATTAAGTTGGGTTTCTTTTTTTACAATTTTTTTTACAAAAATAGATTCAAATTGCGTTGGGGTTGCACCATTCCCTCTGGGAAGGAAACACTAGAAACTTGCTCTTTGTTGTCAGAATCTTTTACAATCAGCAGGAATCCAACCCTTTTGATGAATTCAGAGCAAATGCCTTTTCATGAATTTATTTCCACAACTCAGCTTTGGATGACAGCACACGGACTAGAGAAAAGACTGGAATGAGCCACTTTCCTGCATATATGAAAAATAATAGTCAGTACTTTGGCATATAAACATTAACCTAAAAAAAAAGCAGCCGTGTGGCTTTCTTTTTGTCTGAATAGTTTTATTTTCTGAAGCAGACACATAATTTGGATCTATTCATTTGAATCAAATCTATTCATCCACAATATTACACTCATAGAATCCATTACAATACTTGAATTCCTAAAGGAACAGCTTTTATACATACCTCCAGCCACCATAAAACGTGGAGATATGTGACCTCAATCAATACAAGGTTAAGGATGCTGCATTGGCAATGAAATAATAGAGTCTATAAAACGTTTCCAGAGTTAGCTAGTGAAATGTTCTAATCTGTTTTGTACAACACAACCTCCCATATTCATATTCAAATTACTGTATTACTGAAAAGAATATCACATTTAAATATCTCAAAATAGATCCAAACATGTAATCTCTCTCCTTTTGATTCTCTCGAATCAAGGGATTTTTTTTGGGTGGGGGGATGGCTGAAAGAGAGGGAGAGGGGCTTGGTTTTTTGATATATTTCAAGGAGGTTGCTAAGGGCCACAAATGAGAGAACTGTAACTTGGTGACATCCCTGCAATGTGCCACATTTTGAGAGAAGCCTGCTGACATATTTTTCTTTGGTTAGGAAGGGAATGAATTAGACCTATTCAACCACTCACAGACAATATCCAATTAGTCCCTCTAGTCCAGTAGAAAAACCACACAATCATTTCTTGGCAGATTGTTGACAATATTCAAGAACACATTTTCTAGAGCATGCTGGCTGGGGAATTCTGGGAGTTGAAATCCACAAGTCTTAAAGTTGCCAAGGTTGGACACCCCTGAAGCTTGGGAGCCACACATCCTTGTCAGCCTATGAGTTGCTCGCTCTCATTTTAAATCATACATCACGTCATCAACTACCTGTTTTCCTTAACAGGCCAAGCTATTTCCTGGAATACAAGTAAATACTGAATAAAATACTGAAACAAATACGAATATCAGTTAGTAAGACAGCATAGTAGTTAAGGCACTCAGGTAAGCCCAGAAGACCAAGAATTCTAGTCTTGCCTTAGGTATGAAGCCAACTGAGTGATTCTGGGCCGGTAACTTTCTCTCAACCCCAGGAAAAGGGCAATGACAAACCACTGCAAAAAAGAAAAAAAACTGCCATTAAAAGTAAAGCAGTGCAGATAATAGTCCTGAAGCCCTACTTAACTCTACATTTCTTGTTTGTCCAATCACACTTGGCCAATAAAGAATTCTATTCTATTCCTATTTCTATTCCTATTATTTCTATTCCTGTTCCTATTTTTATTTTATTCTAGTGAGGTGCATTTGCTGGTGGAATCTTCTCATTACAATGCTTTTGCTCTTTCCAAATTCCCTTTTGCCCAGCTGGTGTTTTGTATTAGCCAGCTCTTCTCTGCTTAGTTTCAACAGGTTTTTCTCTCTTGAATGCTTCCTTGATTTACTCTGAGACAGTGGTGGAATTCAAAATATTTTACTACAGGTTCTGTGGGCGCATGCATGGGGAACATTCTATAATGGGCAATTTTAAGCGTGAAAACTTACCTGTCAGCACTGTTGAGTAAAACAGCTGAGGTGCGCCCGCACCTATCAGCTGAACTACAAAGGAAATATAGGACAGGAAAGGGCAGGGGGCGGGGCCAACTGCTGACCGGCACTACCAGATTGCTAGAACCAGTGTGAACCGGCAACATACCACCCTTGTCCTGAGAATAGTCTTCCACTATTCATGTAAGCAGTTGAATATGAAGAATTTTAAAAATGGTGATACTTTTCTTATTCCCCACTATCAAATAACCAGAACACTTCAGACTAGAAAGCATCTTTCACCTTGAAATGTATTCATGCAAATCTTTCCTTGCAAATTCTTATTCCCCATTTTAAAACTGATTTGTTGTTTTAATAAAAGAAAATAAAGTTCCTGAAATGTTAATGGTATTTGTGACTATTTGTGTGTCTATCTTCGAGTCCTTGTTGTCTCCTGGTGATTTGCTGGGTCAGATCTCTGTCATTTTCTTGGCAAGTTTTCAGAAGTGGCTGGCCACGGTCTCCTTTCTGGGACTGAGAAGGAAGAACTGCCCTTATACCTAAAGCAGTTTTTAACCTGGTACTTTAGCTACTACATCAGGGGATGTCCAACCTTGACAACTTTTAAGACTTGTGAACTTCCAACTTCCAGAATTGGCTGGTTGGGAAATTCTGGGAGTTGGAAGTCCATAAATCTTAAAGTTGCCAAGGTTGGACACCCCTGCACTATACCAAACTGTCTGTCTCATTCACAAGTATAGCACAAAACATTTTGTTTTCCTCAGATACGTTCTAGGATGCATTTAGCTTTCTAAATCCACATTTGTTTCAGTCTGAAATATTTATAAATCATGAATATAACCATAAAATTTACTGGATAATTTTTTTTAGGTGAAGAAGTCCACATAGTTCCTCTTCTTGTCCTTCCCATACGTTCTATCCTGAGAGACCCATCAAACGATATAAAGAATAAAGCATATGTCTCTTTCATTGAAGAAGTGGTTCTGTCTGAAAGGCAAATGTGGATATTTTGATATGCTATAGCGCTCTTCCTTCAGAAGATGGCACTCTTTTCTCCAGATCTTCACCATGTCAAACTAAGGAAATTCAGCAGAACTACTGAAAGAAGTCAAAGAATTTGGCTTTTGAACTGCAATAAAACCACACACTCTACAACTTATAAGAATATTTGTCAATAGGCTATATTTAAAAACAACAACTACATATCCTTTGATTTCTTCTGTAATAATACTAAGGACCTATTTATAATAACCAAAATGTCACTACAAGAGTCAGAATACTCAAATAAGCCACTCCAACAGCTACAAAATAACCGAGTTGGAAGGGACCTTGGAGGTCTTCTAGCCAACCCCCTACTCAACCAGGAGACCCTATACCATTTCAGACAAATGGTCGTCCAATTTCTTCTTTAAAACCTCCCTGTTGGAGCACCCACACCCATTCCGCTGATTAATTGTTCTGCCAGGAAATTTCCCCTTAGTTCTAGGTTGCTTCGTTTCCATCCATTGCTTCTTACCCTGCCTTCAGGTGCTTTGGGGAATAGCTTGGACCCCTCTTCCTTGTATCAGCCCCTTAGATATTGGAACACTGCAATCATGTCATCCCTAGTCCTTCTTTTCATTAAACTAGACTATTCTTCACATCTTTTAGCCTCGAGTCCCCT